TGTAACAAAGGATTCTGCTGATCAACAGGGAGCTAAGATTTGTAATGCCAGCAGCTCAGTTTGGTCAGTGGTTCTACAGGCATGGAAATAATGTTCATCCAACATGAAACCATCTCCAACAGCAACACAAACTCTTCACTTGATATTTCATACCTAGTTGAGAGCGTGTGCAAATCTTTCGAGGTCCCTTCCAACCCCGATGATTCTATGATTCTATGAACTACCTGGTGCATTAAAAAGTAGTCTCTTGGATGTTCTTTACTGTTCCTCACCTGAAGTGTGCCTGAGATTTGAACTGCTCAAGGTCTCCTTAAAAGCTGTTAGGCATCTTCATCTGCCATCACCACAGCTTGCCTGTCAACTTGGGAGCCTGTGAGAAGTTGTTCTCCAATTTCAGCCAAATACAGAGCTTTTAATCATCCTTGGTTTCACCTGATTTTCTTTGGTTCTTTTAGTCTTGGCACTTGCTCAGAAATCTTTTGCAACTGCTGTAGGAGTGAGCAGCAGCTGCACACAGGGAATGGAATGGGTTGTTGAAGCAAAATCACTGATCTTTCCTAGAAGTGATTGACCTCTAGAATTTAAACATGGAGAAATGCATTCACCTGCTTAGTTGTAGACTTCCCATGGGCTTGGAACTCATCTGCTTGTGGTCTCAGCTTTTAGCTGTGCCAGACCAAACATGAAACATCTGCTCTGAAGTCCAGGTAACCCATTTTAAAAAAACGATGGAGTAGTTTTTTAAAGGTAAATAGAATAGATCTATTTACCCTTTCTCCCCTCTTCCCTCCTCCCCCCCCCCGACTGTGAAGTCTTTCAAACTAGAGTTGGCTTATGTTCCATAGTGGGTTGTGAATGCAGGCAGGCTTTTCTTCATTAGTTCAAATGTCCTTGTGAAGGTAGAACCTGCAGCCTCCAAAAGTTCACTACCAGCTGGGCAGGGAAGTGCTTTATCTGTTTTAATCTGATCTCCTACTAGTTTTACCAAGTGCTCCCAATTGCCATACCAGGGCACAGTTCTGCATACACTTTATCTGCCACCTTTGCAATTTTTGTGAACTGAATTACCTTCCCCTGCTCAACCTTTTGTTCAAACTGAAGGGTCCCAGCATTTTAAATCTCCACTCACACAGCACCTGATCTGCCCCCTCAAACATTTTATTTACCCTTCTTTAGAATGTCTCTACCTCTAGTATTGTCTTCCTTGCAGTGCAGAGACCAGAATTGCAAGTAACACTTAGGATGTGAGCACACCAAGGTTTTATGCAGCTGCAAAAATGTCCCTGCTCCTCTGACTTACTCTTAGTGTCCTTCACCCAAAGTTAAGTCATGGGTGAGCTATTCTATAATATTGGTTATAATTTTAGTGACTTAGTATCTAGAAAAATGGTAAAACAAGTCACTAATTTATATTCTTGACTTAAATTAGTTTGTAAATTCAGTTATTTGCTAAACACAAATTTTGGATTCTAGAAACAACTGAATTCAGACATGCCCCAAAGAAAAGTCTTTTCCAGTCACTTGAAAGGTTTGAGTCCCCCATACCACAGTATAATTCACTGTAATGATGATTACTGAACAAAGTGAAGAAAACATTACTAAACTATGAACCAATGATAGATGCACAGAAACTAGATTTTTCTCTACAGTTTTAACTTTTAGCTTGAGGATTCAAACCTTGTCTTGTAGGTGATAAATTAGAGAGTATCTGCAAGGGCTACTCTCACTTGGAAAGTGTTTGTTTTTTTTTCTCATATCTTCAAATAAATCTCCTACTTAATGAGTTTGAAAACTCATTGCTCATTAAGCTGAAGATACACTCAGGTGCTTGGGATGTGTCATTCTTCTTTGCATCCACTGAGGAAAACATCCCTTTACCATCTTAAATTTTTACTTAACCAGGAAAAGGGTACAGAGGTTGCTATAGTTGTTAAGCTACTTGTTTTCTTGAAAAGAGAAAATAGAACAGTGATATGGTTACAGCTAAATCATTAGATGAGGTGGAGGTGACTTTAAGGAAACAATTATTAGGAGGATTTTTTGATTTTTGCCTCTTCTTTCTTCTTATAATGAAGTCTATAATATTGCTTTGATGTGGAAAGACAATTGATGGTCTGTGAGAAGACGATAGCTCAGACAGAGCAGTTATTGTTTAGGTAGAAATTAATGGAAAAGTCACTTTTTTTTCCCCTTCCCTAGCTGCAGTTGTTTCAGTAGAAATCAACCAAATTTAGACTGGAATGTTAATTAGTGGTTTTTTTTTTTTTTAATCCTTAATTCTAGATTGTAGTTGTTGAGGCAGCCTTCCCACCCCGTTTTCTCACAAACAGATCTTAGATGATGGTTTTGGAAAGGCTCTGAAGTGGCAATATACTAACTTGCTCTTGAATGGAGTAGCCTGGTGTGAAGTAGAGATGAACTGTGACTTTCAGTGGTGCTCATTTCTGTAAAGCAGTGCTGAAATGGTCTTTAAATGAGCCTTTAGAAGAATTCTTCAGGGTACCTTGAAGATTGTATCCTTCGCTACAATAAATTAATATATTTTTAGGTTTATGCCAGTCAAACCATGATGCTTATTTTCCGTATTAGTAGACTTCTCTGCAGTGTTTAACATTGCAAATATTAGACTTTATGATGGGGTTGACCCCAGCTGGGACTGAAGCCCCCACCCAGTTGCTCACTCCCTTCCCCCATTCTCTTCCTTAGCAAGGTGGGGAAAAGAACTGGAAGGGCAAAAGTGAAAAATCTCATAGGTAGAGGTCACAGAATCACTGAATCATTGAGGCTGGAAAAGACCTGTGAGATCATCAAGTCCAGGATATGACCTAACACCACCAGATCAGCCAGACCATGGCACCATGCCATCATGGAAACCTGGTGGGATGAGTCGCATGGTTGGAGTGCTGCAGTGGGTGGCTGCATCTCTTGAGAAGGGACAGGCAAGGCAAGAGAGGTGGTGGAGTGATATTGTATATTAAGGAGAGCTTTGATTGCCTAGAATTCAATGTTAGACACACCAAGGTGGAGTGTTTATGGGTAAGGATAAAGGGGAAGGCCAGTGAGGCTGATATCCTAGTGGGAGCCCCTTACAGACCACCCGACCAGGGTGAGACCTTCTTTCAACAACTGAGAGATGTCTTGTGTTCATTAGCCCTTGTTCTCACAGGAGTCTTCTACTGAAGTAGGATTAATTCACTGGGTTAAGTCACTGGGTTATGGTACCATTCTAGCATGTAACAACCTCTCCTGTCATTCTGAAAGAAATTATTTGCTCTTTTGGAATGCTTCTACTGGAGGTACTTCAGTGTCCATGACTGCATTTTTTGGCCTACTTCACAGCTTGAAATAACACAGAACTGATTCACCCTGAGGACTTAACCTTCTGCTTCTCTTTATCTGAAGGTGGATCTTTTGATGCTACGAGAGTAATAAGGAGGCTCAATAACTGGATAAAGCATCTCAATATATTGATGAATAGTAAACACTAGGGTTTTTTTCCTCATAATACCTCTGGCACTTTAGGCTTAGGGCAGAGGAGCATATCTCATATGGACCAGTGACATGGAATTTCTACAAGTGTTTTGTAACACAAGCTATCCTGTCTGGCATCATCCTTCATATTTGGGTCATGTATACTTGATGCTTCTTAGTTTTGAGAAAAGACTTTATTAAAAAAACAAAGCCAACAGTCTTCACAGCTTTCTTCATTGTGTTTCAGAATTGTACCTGATTTATTTTTGTGTATTGTTTTGATGAAATGCTTTTTGCATTCATGTGCCATTTCCTGAGTTAGAGTGTGTATGATTTAAAACCAGATGAACTTTTAGTTGCCTTTAGGTTCCTTCCATGAGTATTGGATGTGGTTGGTTGATGGTGCCTGTTGTGGAATATTTTTCTTCTGGTAGTGTTCTTCACTTAGAGTGGTATTTTGAGCTTTGTTATCTACATGCTTCCAGGTCAATGTCAGTAACAGCTCTAATGTCTTTTTAGACTTACATTCACTTTAATGTCTTAATTCTGAATATTTTAGAACATAAACAGAAAATGACAAGTCAGTTAATACTCTCTATAACAGTTATAAACTTTTAACTGCCTTAACACAGGGTTTATGCTCATGAAATACTTATTTTAATACAGAGAAGCTGTATGGGGACTTCTTGAATTGGAATCTAGAAGATACCCTCTCCCAGTTTCCTCTAAAACCTGGAAAAATTGCAACATTTACTGTAAACATAAAAGTGAAACTGGACTTTTCATGCCAAGAAAACCTTCTGCAAGATCTCAGTGATGGTGAGTTTTTAATGTATCCTTCCTTAGGGGGGTTGCACATAACTTCTGACAAGCACTTATCCAATTGTTGTACCATTAATCATATTATAGAATCACACATTGCCAGGTTGGAAGGGACTTCAAGGATCATCTGGTCCAATCTCTAAGTTTTTGAAATGCAGCGTGTGATGTCGCCTTGTGTTTTCACATCCTGTGTCCAGTTCTTGAGTACTATATTCAGGTCTGAAGCCATCAAAACAAGAAGGACGTGGAGCACCTGGAGAAAGTCCAGAGGAGGCCATGAAGATGATCAGAGGGCTGGAGCAGCTCTGCCTTGGAGACAGGCTGGGAGAGTTGGGGTTGTTCAGCCTGGAGAAGAGAAGGCTCCAGGGAGACCTTAGAGCACCTTCCAGTGCCTGAAGGGGCTCCAGGAAAGCTGGGGAGAGGCTTCTGACAAGGGCTTGTAGTGAGAGGACAAGGGGGAATGGATTAAAACTGCAAGAGGGGAGATTTAAGTGAGACATGAGGAACAAGTAATTAAGTCTGAGGGTGGGTAGACCGTGGCCTGAGTTGCCCAGGGAAGCTGTGGCTGCCCCATCCCTGGAAGTGCTGAAGGGCAGGTTGGATGGGGCTTGGAGCAGCCTGGGCTGGTGGGAGGGGTCCCTGCTTATGCAGAGGGTTGGAACTGGATGATCTTTAAGGTCCCTTCCAACCCAACCCATTCTGTGATTCTATGCTATTTGTGTCTTGTAATGCAAAGAAAGCTGTTCACTGAGCCCTCTGGATTGAAAACTGAATTATTGTAACAGTTGTGGGTGTGATAGTCTGACCAAACTTTTCCATCATGAGACCTTGCCCTGTTGGCTTTTTTATCTTTCTTGACAGAGTGTTTTTTCATGTGTGTCCTTTTATCCTTATCTTATGAAGATAGTTTGGAAACATCAGTGGGTGTTAAAGAGAAATAATGTTGATAATTTAGTTATCCAAGTTATTGTAGAATTCTTAATCATGGCTGACTACAGGTTTGCTAGAAGTGTTGTACTGAAAAGTGGGGCACAAATCCCCTAGTATTTGCACTGTAGAGAAAGTTTCATGTGATTAAACTCATGGTTTCTTTTGAATAATAAAAAAAACAAACAACCAAAACCCAATGTATGTTTGGATTAGATTTATCTGGAATTACGACTACCAGGTAGTTGTAATAAGGATTTCCTTTTTAAAATAAACACACAGTCTCTCTGGAGTTAATTGCTATACTCTGTATTTTTTCAATTGCTTGATGTATTTACACTGATTGAGTTAACTTGACAAAAAAAGAGATTCCTGTAATAAAAAATAAAACAGAAAAAAAATCCCCATTATTATTTGGAATCTTTCCCAGGATCCGGTTGCAGGTATTCATTATCAGTATAATTAATCTTTAGAAAAATACATATTTTCAGTATAGAAAAAATACAATAAAATCACATGCTTAGCTGATCTAAGTTGAATAGGGCTGGTTTCCATGAGTTATCTTGCAAATGCATTTAGACAGAACTGATACTAATTTTTAGTAAAGATTAAAAGACTGCTTTGTTTTTTCAGTCTCACTGGCGTAAAGTACATGAGTTATAAAAATATTTAGGATTCAACTGGAAATCACCCACAGTGCTGCTACACTGAATTTTATTTCAGAGCTTTTTGCTAAGCTGAGAGTGGTGGAAGGCCTCACTCTGATGGTGTGAAAACAGCTGTAAAGGAATTGAGGCTTTCAGAAATGCCCTTGACAGTCAATGTGATTCTGTACAGCACAAATTTGGGCCACAAATTCACAGAATTCGGGCAACAGATCCAAAGTGACTGTAGGGTGATTTTACTATTTCACAAGTAGGTGATAATGCATTACTTACAGAATCTAGAACTCTTGGTCCTCTGGTACCCTGTAGATGACCTCTCTTTTCCATAGAAATTCTTATTGTGCTTATTTTGTAAGAACTTGTCATAATTAATCTCATTATCTATGACGTTGTGTGTGGTTTAGGCCAGTTCAGATTCAAATTTTAAATTGAACTTTGGAGACTTAGCTTTGATATGTTGACATATAACATACATGTATGACATAGAAAGAAATGAAAGCCATGGAAATGAGAAAGAATTTTATCAACGTAATCAATATAACTTGAGAAATTATTATAGAAGTTAAAATTGTAAAAGGTAGACATTACTGTCTTTAGTGCCAGTTCTGTTGATTTCACTTATGCAGCTTCCAAATATATTTACATACATATATATACATACACACATATACATGCACATATATATATTTCCTTTGTCTCCAAAAAACTTTAAAGGCACTCAGGAGCTACACTAGCCCAGCAGTTTTCAGATGACATAAGATATGAATAAATAGTCTATAGAAGGAGAAGATAATGTACTTATTGCTCAAACAGTTGTGGGATTTGGATTTAAGCCTCATTTTTACCTGTATCTTAACTTTCATGGGCCCACATACAAGCAAAATCTTTGAACGTTTTCACTTCTTCCTTTTGGCTTCTTTGAAAGGTTGTATAAGAAGCCTGGAAGCAATTCAACGTTTTCTTGTGCAGTAATGATAAAGGAGTAGAAAGTTAATGTTTCTTTAGAACCTGGGTATCTTTGGGTACTTTGAAAGTGTTATTAGAGATGCTTAGTATATTGAGATTTTTACTTGCTACTTTAATTTTTCTATATGGCTTTTAACTTTACAACTGTTGTGCTTTCTGAAGAGGCAGGTAAGATGCTGATGTAAAGAACAGCAAAGAGCTAGAAAAATCAATGGCAACTAACGTGACTTTTATTCCACAGTAGCTGTGGTACTTTTGTCTTTGGGAGACCAGTTTTACAATAATGATCAAAATACTTTTGTCTCTTAAAAGTAATGCCCTTAGCAGGGCATCTGTTACTTTGATCTATTTTCATTTGCTGCCGAAATTGTTTCCTTTTATGCTGTTTGTAATCAGGACATAATACAGAAAGGATGAATTACTGATGTTTCTGATGATACACTTATCCAATTGGAAAGTAAACTAAGTTATCATTCACAATTGGTGATCTAATTCTTGTGTGTTGATGGTCTACTGTCTCGTAAAGAAAAATGTTAGATGTTCTTCTAGATTAAAGGAAGGAAAAACACGAGTGGCTGTACAGGATCAGATCAATGACCGTCTAGTCCAATATCCTGCCTGTGATAGTGGCCAAGAGCAGATGCCTGTGGGAGAACACAGGGAAAATCATGAACATACATGCTCCTCTCCCTTGGACTTTTGGGCTCCAACTATTGTTAGCTCAGGAACTTCCAGATCCTGGTATGATGTCTGTGGTTTTAGGCATTGCTAGTCATCCTTAGTGGGTTTCTCTTCCATAAGATGGCTTGTTTTCTCTGTCAGTGCTGTTCATGGTACAAGAAGAAGAGTCACAGCTAAATGACTGGCAGCAGTTTGCACTTCCTGGTGTCCTTCTTGTATTACCTGACTCTTGTACTGCAAGAACCAGGGAACAGTGCATCTCCTCAGCATCGTTCCTGCAGTCCTGACCCTTTCCTCGTGTCATTGTCACAGCTGTCTCTTTTGCAGACCGTAGATTGCTAACTGGCTTACTTGTCCCTGTTATGGGAACAGTTCCATGCACTGATAACCCTCCTTGATGTCCTTTTTGATCTCTTTCAGCTCTGTATGTTTGAGGTAGGCTGGAGGCATTATTTGAAAGGTAATCTGTGTCTTTCTGTAGCGACCTCATGATGCTCTTTATTTTGTTTTATATCACTTTCCTTAGTGTAATGCAGTAATGCAGAATTTGTCATTTGATTTTTGACTATTGCTGAACATTGAGTTGGTAGATTGATTAATAGCTCCAGGATCTTACCCCTGAACAGTAGCAATATGCTGACAGCCTCCTGTTCCACATATAAAATTAGGATTGTTTTGGATTTGTTTTTTGTTTTTTGTTTTTTTTCCTATTTATTTATACTGATTTTTTTTGGCATTTATTGATTGAACATTAAATGTTTTGTGAGGTCCCAGCTGTGATGTCAGGAACATGCCACTCTGTTGCACAGGCTTCCATGCTGGGAATTGGGTTTCTGCAAATACAGCCTATGAGTGTGCCTGACAACATTCCAGAAGAATGTATCTCCTGTTAGAGCACATCAGTTAAGGTTATTGTCACAATCTGAATTGCCTTGGTTTATTACCTTTGGAATTAATTACTTCGCAAACACTGTGAACATCTGGGAAGGTGTTCTAGAGACACTTCATTAATTAGGATTAAGAAGATCAGGCTTACGTGTGGAAACCAGTTGACCAAGATTGAGGGGTTCCCTGTAGGACATCCTTTTGCAGCAAATGAAGATTTCCATCTCCTGCCCCTCAAGTGGATGGTTCATGGTTCCTGCTGTGTAAGTCCTGTTTAGGAAAGTCAGTGTGTGTGTTAAACTTGATCCTAAGGTGGATAGATGGCTTCAGGTGATGAAACAGTAAGGTCTCTGTCACCTGGTAAGGTGGCCTGAAGAGGTCAACAGGATGCTCAGGTTATGTGCATAATGAATTCTCCCTCCCAGTCAGACTGAAACCCAGTATTTCCCTGGCACTCAATGGGAAAAGGAACCAGAGCTGCTCTTTCTGGATTGCATGGTAACCAGCTAGTGGGAAGCAGTCCTTTAAAAAAAGCTTCTGCTACATGGGGATAATGTTTTGCAAAGTTAATTAATTTAGCCTACAATGAGTACTTCATTATGTAAAATGCTAGTGCTCATTCATTCTGTGTATAGGGAACCTAAAGACAGGTGCAAGAATATTTAAATTCATAAACTCATCAAAGGAACTAATTAATTACATGCTAAGAGGAAAGCAAATCCATGCCTTAAGTCTCTTTCTCTTCTCTTGCAGAGAAATAGTAGTGTATTTCTAAATGCTGTGATCTTGAATTGTTTTTATTACTGGTATACAAGACCATTGCCCTTTTCATACTCACTTCATTGCTTTTCTGCTTAAATGGCTGTATTTTTT